GCTTTGACAGAAACTTTACCTTTCTCTTTGGAGTGAATGGATGGCTGAGAGACCTGGAGAGCTCTCAGTATGGAAATAAGTCACCAGGAAAAGCCTGCTGCAGAGAGGGTAACACACATTGCAACGGCAGCAAAGCCAATTTATAGTTCCCAACCTTCCTGACCCTCAGCCTCCCATTCACATCTATTTCTGCCCCAGTTTTGTAACCTCTAAAGTTGTTCTGATGCAGCTGTTTTTGAAGTTAAGTCTAACATGTCTTCCCAAAATTATTTTTTAAAAGGAATTATTTCCAGGGAGATTTTACTGTTGACCTGAAGCGGACTAGGATCAGTCCCAGCACTATTGCAGAGCAAACAGATGCATTGGCAAAATTGAGACAGTAAACTACAAGAAGAGGCAGTGATGTGCCTCTTGGGGGCTGGATAAGATGATCTTCAGAGGTCCCTTCCAACCTCAGCTGTTCTGTGATGCTGTGATGTGTGCGGCTACTGCTGCAGCAGTTGTCAGGCTTCATAATGATTTGTCTGGAACATTTTTAATATCTAGATTTGATTTTTTTCAGAAATAAGAGAGGTTATAAAAAGTCTGATTAAGGGTCACTAAAAAGAGGTTGTTGAGGTCTTTTACTGAAAGAAAAAACCAGGGATAGAAGTTCTTTAGAGAAGAGTCAGGCGGTTGCCTGACATTGCAAGCAGGAACATACGCACATGAGGAACTCACTAAATCCTATTTACATCTTTCTTTTGTAAATACCATGAAAACAGGGCCCTACACATTTAGAAGACAGATCTATAAAATCTGGATATAGTTATCTAATGGGGCCTGATCCCCAGGTGAAACAACCAAGTATTATGTTGATTTATGTCAGGAGAGGACCTGGTACTTACTATTTATTCAATAAACTCTTATCAGTCTCTCAGAGTTTTTGCCAAATGCGATTACCCAGATCTTCCCATTCAAACTGGCTCAAAAACATAACATAAAACAGGTTCCTAGTTCACAGTTAGGGCTCTGAGATTATATAAATAACTGTAAAATGAACAGAGGTAAAAGCTCAGAATCTGCAAAATGACATAGTGGACCAAATTCTCTTAATCATCTGCCAATGTTCTGCCTGCCAAATTTACAAGATATGAAGAAAATGTTAATTGAACATGCGTGTGAGAAATAGTTATTGCATATGGATCGCAGATCCCAACAAACAGAAAACTGCATATTGCCTAAGCAGCTGCACAATTTTTGCACATGCAGTTCCATATTTTGGGCACACATTGCAGCCATACTTTACAAACTTTTTCAAAAATATTTAAATAACAAATGGAAAATCCCCCCCACGCACGCACACGCATTTGTGTTAGACAAGAGAACAGTTCCGTTTCATGATCCGAGATAATAAAGTATTGTGCATTACATTTACCGTCATTATTCTAACTCACTCGAGTCAAAGTGTTGTATAGTACATATAATACTCAGCAGACAGTTACTCATATCTACATTCATCACTTAGACATACATTTTAGAAAATTTTGCCAGTTGCCTATAAGAATTCAGCTGAATATCTAGCACTTAACAAGCCACAATATCATATTTCTAGTATCTTATAAAATGTCACCAGGAAATGTTAGGGTATTACTTTTATTTTGTATACTGAGTCAGTTTGTCAAGCACCAGCATTTACAACTCTCGCTTGCTTCAGATGGTAGAAATATGGCAATGTGTCAGAGAGCTGATGTAAGTAAGGGGAAATGATATTTATTCTCTGTTAATATGATTAATTCTAGAAGAAAGGCACCATGAAAGAAAGACAAATTTTTAAACGCATACAAGGGGAGAGATTTATTGCTCATGGTGACACGTAAATCAATCAGTGACTGACTGTGATATACAAGCAAAGTGAGACAAGTCCAATGCTGTATTCTTCTCCATCTTTTACTAGCCATCCTAAATGTACAATTTTTTTTTTTCTGGGAAATTATCTTGCTCTGTTTGAATAATTGATTTAAAATTTGAAATCCTTCTGGGGCCAGGTTTATCGACATACAAACCTCCCATTGACTTTGGCAGCAGCCCCACGTATAAGTTGACAACAGCTGTGGCCTTTAAAAATCATCCTGTTGCAATTTACTTAAGTAAAAGTGGTCTTAGTAAAACATATAACAACTTGATATAGAGCTTTTTATCTTTTTAAACTCACTAATAAGCAACTTTCTAATATCCTGTATTCTGATACAATCAAGTCATCAAAATTACTTGAATTTCTTAAGAAGCAAGTATTGAACTGGGTGTTTTATCTATTGCACCTGAGAAAATTATGTTAAGCCTAAGAAGTAAAATGATTAAGATGAGGTAGACTATTTAATCTGGCTAAGGGCTGATTTTGAATGCAGTGTTGTAAAAACTCACTTAAATTCTGTGATCATATTTGTGTGTATATTTTATTGTAATTATGTTATTTTTTTATAACTAAAATTAGTAGTTAAGCTGAAAATTTTTATTTACACGGTAGTTGATGATCTTCGTTATATTAATTCTACCATTTATAAAGCAGAAGAAAATGTAAGTTTATAGATTAACATGGTTCCTTGCAGCTGTAGTACCGTGCCAGAGCGAGGGCTAAGGCAAGGCTCTCCAGACCGACAACTGAGGTATTACCCCACATTCACTGACTTTGGGGTGAAGCCCCTCACTGAGTTACCTGTCTGGGCTTTGAATCACTGGCCAGCAACTTCAGCAGGGGACACTTTTTGCAAGGTATGAAGGAAATTGTAGTTGCCATAATGTCCGTTCTATCAAAGACTTCTATTCATAGCAGATCTTGCAAAACGGAACATGCTAATGTTTGCAAAATGGCTGATATTGATCATTTAGCATAAGTGATAGGGAATACACTAATTTAGCCCATTAACCTTTGCTGTCCGGGATTCTGCAGAGCTATAGGCACCAAACAGTGCCCTTTGCCTGGGGGACACAGGAGGTGGTAACCGAAAGGTAATCCCACATTTTTAGTACTCAGGGCCTTATTAAACCACGACATTTCCTTAATATGGTCCTGGCCATATTTTCTCAATATGTTATTGACAGTCAGAATGTGAGCAAGGATAGGTGGTAAAATAGCCAGCTATGTATGTCAGCTGTTATTTAAGCTGCCATTGCATGCATGAAACCTAATTAACCAAGGCTATTCAAAATCTGGGCATGTATTTGCCATTTACCCTCACAAAAGAAACGGTATACTTTATGGTCACTGGACAGAAGCTTTCTTCACCTACCCAGCAAAAATTAATTTAATTTCTGATGTTAACGTGCTGTTGTCTTATGGACTTTAAGTCACTTTCTGGAAAAAAATGTGTGCAGAATTAAGGTCAGAATTGGTAGTAAGTCTTTTGCCAATCAAAGTATAAATATGAAGCATTTGAAACCAATAGTTTTTTACCTGAAAATAATTTTAAGAGGTTATGAGGATGACACACTTTATTGATGCAAGTTGTTTTAGAAATTGATTATTCCTAAAAATCATAACAACAGAAATGACAATTGATTAATTATTGCTCTTGATATTCTACAGCTTAATTAATAGAAAACACTTTAAAAACTGTCTCATTTTATAGTGTTTTCACTGAATTGAGAGAGAATTCTCTGAAAATTACCCAGGAAAGTAATTCTTCATGAGTCACTGGAGGATGGCTTCAGCATCACACATCTACGTGACAGTTGTGAAGCCATCTACCAGCTGTAGTTGTACTTACAATGAACTAAATAATGTTTACAAAAATTAAGATACTGTGGTGGTGTCTGAGGAAGTGTGACATGTAGGATTGTCCTGGTTTTGAAAATTTTACTGGTATTTAGGCCTATGTTAGCTGCAGGCTGACCTGAATGCGTGGTAAATGTTAATAACGTTACTATGCATAGCTGCAATCTAGAGCTATAAAGATCTATACTGAAACCTCCTGAACCTCTACATGTTCAGATGTGGATTCAGATTATTGGCTGCGCTTTCATGGTGGGGAGGGGGTCTATTATTTTTGCTCCACTTGCTTTGGAAATTATACTTTCAAATTCAGCTTTAGGCTCATCTTTCCTTTAAGTAACATCTGTAGGAAAAAAACATGATTAAACACCTCAGAAAAAAAGATTTAGGGTTTTTTTTTTTTCCCCTGGGCACAGGGCCCAGTTCTGCAGCTTTGGGCAAAGTCCATCTCTTTATAGCTCAAATATACTGGAAGGTAGGCAGGAGGCATCCTGACCTTTCCATCCGCTCTACCATTTTTATTTTTCTGAAATTTAATGGGGAGAAAACTAATGGGGTTTTGTGGAAGTTACTTTAAAAACTTAGAGAAGACATGGCTGAATCCAGTCCGTAGCGTACTTCAAAAGTGATTTTTCTCTTCCTTCAATTCTACAGGATTGTTCAAAAAATATGTATCAGAAGAGGTTGAAAGCTATGCTGGGCACTGAATGAGTATCTAGGTAAAGATTTTTCTATTAAGCTTTTCCTATTAAGAGTTTTTCTACAGAGGACCTACTCAAGCAACTAGGTTGGGGTGGTTTTTGTAAAGCCAGGGTGGCAGCTCCATCAGAGGGAGCATTACCTGCAGCCAGTGAAAAATAGAGCGCAAATACCCCTGTGCAGCTTTTTAGAATAATCTTATGATGGCACCAGTTTGCTCCCAGTAGTTTCACGAGTCCTTCTGCTGAGGACTAGCTTTTTACCCTGTAGGTATGCATAACTGCTGATGGAAATCAATGGGAGATTTGTACTTGCGAAGCCTGCAGGACCTCAGATCAATAGCAGTCTTTTAGCTGGAGGCAGGAGGTACAAAGCAGCGTGCCTCCCTTAGGTGTTACATGGGCTGCTGGAGGGACATGGGCTGGGCTTCAACCTGTCCATGACTGCCTCCCAGAACCTTGACAGCTGAGGATAGCTACTAGGGATAGGCCAGTTACTTTCGTTTCCCATATATTTTTTTATGTGTCTTGTATGTCCCATACCAGGCTCCTCATTCATTCAGCTGCAATATATTCCGATTGTGCGATTCGCTCGTAAGGGCAGAGGAATTGATGGAGCTTCTTTTGAGGATCTTGTTTATAATGTCTTTCCATGTCTTCTTGTACTGATGCCGTAGCAAAGAGTACACAAAAGGGTCTGAAACAACTTTGCTGTAAGCTAAGCACTTGGAAATGATTCCCCAGTGGGAACTGATGTGGACCACAGAGGATAATTCAACAAGTCTGTGGAAAGAGGAAGGTTGAACGAGTGAATATTCATATTAAAAACATGGAGCAACAGCACAACTGTAAGCCACTGACTTCCCCAAAACCCCAATTTATTCCTGGGCAATTGCAAGAAAACAAAGGAAAAGAAAACCATACTCATGAAAATGTGAATGTAGTCCTCCCCTTATACATTTCTAAGACTGCAAATGTAAACTTGAGGTCTGTTTCCCAAGGATGGGACTACACAGCTCCTATCAGAGTGTCTTGACCTCCAAACTTCAAGACATCTTTGACTCTGTACATTTAGCTGTACACTTACTGAGGCTGGAAGTGGACCTTGGATGTATTGCATCCTAAAAGGTTCTCTTGACCATTTTTCTCAATAAATGTTGAATAATTTACTGCAAAATGGAATAGCTTCATCAGGATATGAGGCAGTCTTCAAAAGAGCCTATTTATTTGTATTGGAATACACTTTTGGAGACTAAAAATTGAGTCCAAATCTCTGATGTAGAGCTGGGTTTTCAACTCATCTGGCTCACTCAGGCCATCAAGACACTTGATAAAGGGGCACCCCTCTCTTTAGAGTACTGTAGCCTAGCCTTATTTTTACTGTCTAGTGAACACCATGTTTGGGATCATAAATACTCTGTGGTAAGCAGGTCAACATTTCACAGAAAGTTTACTGCTGATGAAAAATATCATGCAGCATCTACTCATAAAATCATTTCCTACGTAACATATCCTCAACCATTACACTTTTAGTCTCTGTGCCAAAACTTATCCGTATGGACAATGTGTGTTACTTTCTCTGATGACTCTAGGGTTTTCAGTCCTAATAAGATCTCTTCTTAGACAGTAACATTTCATTTCATTTTTTTTCTTCATTTAGTGCTTTTGTTTTGTGCATTTTTCTAGTAGTGTGTGTCATAAGATCATGTTTCTGGCAGCTGAAGTTCATCACAGGCTTAATATAGCTCTAAAGGAAATAAAAGGAGTATAATCTCCCCAGGTATGTTTCCTGATGACTTTCACACTGATTGTCACCATTGAATCCGTCATGCACAGCAAATTTAGCCACAAGAATTGTAAAAAATTATTTCTGCATAGCCTAACATAATTTTCTAAATATTGATGCAAAACCATACTTTGAGCACTAAATTTTGAGATTGGGACACAAAATGCCATCGCTTGGTCTCATGGGAGTCGTATTTCCCTACCATCAGCTATCTAAAAATCCAGCATCTAGTCGGAACTCGTGCTTCTAGGTCCCCTCTAGAGTATCTGAGAAACCACCTCACCAGTGCTAGATAGTTTTCTTAGCCAGTCCAGCTCCTAGAGAGAGAGTTTGATGCTTTTAAACAGATTGTCTGGGTCATAGGAGAAACACACAAGGAAGGAAAATTCATCATTGAGAGATGGCATAATATATCTTGAATTTAAAAACTGGTCAGTTTAAAGGCCAAACATATACATTTGCAACAAATTTAGCAAGGCAAAACTTTTAACTCATTAGGGGAGGGAGGGAGGGAGGGAGGGAGAGAGGAAAGAGCTTTATATAGTCCTCATACCTACACTAGCACAGATAGCTCACTTTGTACTGAGACAGAGTATTTTTGGCAGTGAAGTATTGATAACTCCACAAGATTTTCTTTCCCCGTGTCTTTGAGCAACACTGAAGGGCAGTTCTGTTCAATATGTCTCTACAGCTGTTGAGAAACTATTGATTTTTCTAGAGGACAAACAGCCGCGTGGGCTGCTAGAGAGCCCCACTATGCAATGGCAAATAAGATCTTTCCTGAAACTGCCTTCAGCAGCAGGTCCTCTTAAACCTGCCTGGAAAATACTTCAGTTGCTGATGTGTCTTCAGACAAAGCACCATTTCCAAGGAGCATTTTGAAGTGTGGTTCCTGCAGCAGCAATGACAATAGTGTTGGTACTTCAAGCGGTTTAGAGATGAGGATTTTTTTCCCCAGTCATTTTATTCTCACTCCATAAACTTTCACTACATCCTGTTGTTTAAAATAGCAGTGGCAGATGGCATGGTCCAGTCATTTGCGCACAGAAGTGGGACTAAGGAGCTTTAATTTGTTACACCACTGACTACGAGCTTCTGTCTTCTCTCTCCGTCCTGGTTCGCCTAGACTGCAAACTCCATGGCAAAAGCATTGTTTCTTCCTGGATACGTGTGCTGGGCTTAGCACCATGGGTCTGCAGCCAGCACTGGGGCTTTAGCCACTGTCACGGTATTGGTGGTTCTAATACTGAGAATAGTTTTGTGTGCTTTGTGATAGCAATTTGATCACTTTGTGTATCACTTCCATCGGAAGCGAGGCGCACCTGTACAATGATGTTTTTAGGGGTGGTGACATTAGCTAAAATACTCTTTGGGCTCACAGATGTGTGAGACATTTGAGGTGACCAGGCTATGTTACATGAAAATACTTGGGATTTGCTCTTGCCCCTCCACTGGTGCCGCTTGGCTCAGCTGATCGCTGTAAGCAACTTTGAGATACCAAAGAACCGCCATCTGTCCCATTTCTCTCTCCTTTCATCTCGACTAAACAAATGCTGTTCTTTCAACCTCTCTTTGTAACTCATGGTTGATATCTTACAAAGTAGGATCCAAACTCAGACATAATTATCATCTACTCAAGCTGCCGGGGGGTCTCATCTGGTGTATTCTCTCTTGTTTAATAAAATGTAGCTTATGACACCCACGTTAATATGCTCTAAAATGAGAATCGACTGTTTGGAAATTAATCATCTACTGAGTCATATTTACTTTGTAGTCTACCATGAGCCATCCTTCTTGTTATTCTCCACTTCACATATTTGATGCCTTCTTTGCATTTTGAATTTCATCATGTTGAATTTCATCTGGTTGATTTACTTTTACCGAATGCTTTACACATGTGAATTTGATTAAGCTTAATTAAATTCAGTGGATGCCTTGAATGACCAAAATATGACAAATTTGTGTCTGAGTCTCTGTCGATCAGTTCTACGAGATGTTAACAATCTCCACTTAAAGCATATCAAATAAACACCTCAGGGTTGCAAGCCTAGAGTGGCTAATTTTACCTTCATTGACTGATCAACTAAAAAGCCTACACTTTTATCAACAGAATTTTAAATATTTTCTTTGATTATGTTCCATAAGTGTCCTTGATATTTACACATTTTGCAATTCTTGTGGGTTTTTTTTTTATAGTAAATTACATTTGCAGATATCAAGCAGCAAACACAGAAATGCAGACAAACCCTAAGCTATGCAATTCCATTTTGCATAAAACAATTAAATGTCAGTCTTTCAAGGCATACCACATACTTTATTGCTTTTGAAAGAGGGGTTTGTTTCTCATTTATGAGGGAAATTATATGCATAACTACAATTTTCATGAAAAATTTCAGCCAAAAAGAAAACATTTTCAGTGAAGGAGCATTAATATTTCATTGTTACCAGTAAATTAAATTCTACAGTATCAACTACATAATTCCCTATCTTGTTTTCATAAGCCACTCTTCTACTGTCCAGTCTTCAATACCTTTTTATTTCAAAGCTAAAAGCTATTTTGCTGTGATAATTTGTTAATATTTTAGAAACTTATAATTCTGTAGCGTGTGTCATGTCAAGTGGTTATCCAATTATTTTATTTCACTTTCAGTAAATAAATGAGAATGCTATGTTGAAGATTAAGACCTTGATCTTTTATGCAGATAATACACACTGAAAACCCTTTATATACATGTGCAGTTTATCACTTTAGTAAAATATTTTACTGAACGTATATACGTCCAGCTGGAAGCTACTACAATGGCAACATATCTGTTGTGCATTGCTTAAACCTGAGAACTTAACTGAGCTATGGAGAAAATTCTGAATAGACCAGGGTCTCAAACAAGCCAAAACATCTTGTTGTTCAGGAGTGAAACAAAGCTGGCACTGCATTTTGGAGCTGGTAGATGATGAAGTTCTCACAAGAAGAAATTCAGTCTTTTCCCCAAGAATGTGGATCAGCTTTTTAAGCTTGCATTCCTAACATTTCTGTTTGTGTCTAATTCTGATTTTTTTTTCCCCTTGCAAGTCCCATAGTATCAGAATTAGACCTTAGTTGTTTCTTTTTTGTTAATGATATGAATAAGCTGACCATGAGTTTTATCTTGATGTTGATGTTGATTTTACTTTATTTTCATTTTATTGGTTGGTAGACTGAATCTTTTGTATGCCGTCTTGCTAGTGAAAAAGCCCTATTTTAATGATTGCTTCTTGATACAAAAATGACATTGCAGTGATTGTTAGCTGATTTACCCTTAGCCAGTTTTGCCTCTTAAGTGGTGCATATATCAGAACTGGCCGGCTTCTGTAAGGGAGCAGACTTTTGGACTCTTGTAGCTAATCTTGCAAATCTCTTGTAACAAATCTTGCATACCATTGCTTTTAACCGTTGCTGTTCCCCAGAGCTGCAGGAACCACCAGTCAGCACAGAGATATGAGGATAGGAAGGCATCACAGATATGATGATAGCAAGCAGCACTGTCCAGCTTGTACCAAAAGGTTTTTCTATCCAGGAGGAAAATATCTCTACCTCACATCAGCTGAGGCTTTTGACAAAGGCTAGAAGGCCACTTTCTTTGAATATGTCAACCTAAGATTGCATAGGAAAATCATGCATTTATATGCACAGACAGGCAAGAACATATCTTGCAGAGGAATTCTGAACTTGGTTGTCTACTTGAGCAGGATCTGCATGCAGAGGGCAGGCAACCACTTTAAAAACACTGTTTGTTTACCCCTTGTCCCCCAAAGATAATACAAGAGAATTTTAATCTTCTGCTTGTTCCACCATCCTCCTCTGTAACCTGAGGGCTTGGGGCTATGAACTTCTTTCTGATATTACTTCAGGATTTTTAATTTAAAGCCAATTTCCTCACACATTGACAGCACTTATTAACTTACATGAGCAAAGTTCTGTATTTCAGTATGAAATGCCTGGAGTTGGAAATTAATATTAGAAATTGGTATGACTTATTTTAATTTTTCTTATGAAAAAGCTCCTTGGAGAAAATAGGTTTCAAACAATGTTATTTAATCGCATAATGATAAATATAGCAAAAGAAGAGATGTGTACTAATAGAATTTTTACAAGCCGAGAAACAAGCTATGCCTAGATATAAATAATATGGAGTAATACATCTGTCATACTGTTACGGTGGAAACAAATCAAGAAGAATCAGGTTCTACTGATATACTACTTAAGGTCAGCCACTAAACTAATTAGAAGGGTGTTTTCTTCATAAAAAAGGTGCCTAATCTGATTTTTACCTTAATGTAATCTGAAAAATTCTGGTTTACCCAGGGAAGAATTTATCTGGCTGGGGTTACAAGCACAACTTCACTTGTTCATGGAACTGCTAGAGACAGCTATTTGTTTTTAGTGTAGAAGCAGAAAGATGTTGTTATAGTAAAGCCTTGTGATTTGCTGCTTTCAGGCCTCAATTCATTAAGTACTTACAAGCATGTCTAATTTAAGCATATTGCTGATTAGAGCTGGCTGTCCAAATGAGAGGCTGAGCAATACACCTCATCGACTATCTTCTGTTCACTGCCTTGAACTGTGATTGATTACCTCTATCTTGTGGATGCAAAGCGCCGGACATAGTCCAGAAAATAATACTTGCTTACATAATTAAGCTCAAAAGCCTCCTAATCCCCTTGACTTCAACACCCTCAGCCATATGTGTGAGGCATAGGGAAGCACAGTAATGCATGTCCTTGAATACTTGTCCATGCGGTGTAGTGTCCAGCAAGGTCTCTCAGGTAGCTCAAGACGGAATTCCCCGTAGCCTGTGTGCAGCGATCCCCCTAGACATGTCAGAACTGAAAAGCCCAGGAAAGTGATAGCCTTTACCCCACCTGGCACGCCTGGCCAGTGCCCGAGCCTACCCCGGTGCAGGCAAGCATGTTCATGCATTCAGGACCCTATATTTTGAATCTTCTCATCATCCCTCTCTGTGGCAAAGCTATTAGTCCTCAACAGACTGAAGACTCAGGGGAACACTTAAGCGGTCCTTGTACGGACTGAAGGGAGGAGGCTCAGGATTTTTCTAACCCCTCTTCTGTATCTTAAGGCTACTGGGACACAAATTAGGATGCCATAGAGTTAAGAGGAGGTGGGAAGGTGGTGCCTGAGTGCTGGGCTAAGATACCTATGGAGGAGCACAGAAATACTTCTGACAGTTCTGGTTAGAGCACTTGGTGTCACTCAGGATGGAGCCGCAAGCTATTCTGTGACTGTGACAATTTTCATTAAGTTCAGAGACCCAACATAAAATAAAAATTAACCATTTGCAATGAGACAAATACTTTAATATCTTATAGCCTGAGAACTAAGGCTAAATGTCCATAATTATAAATCCTTTCATACCCTTTTAGAGTGTGTAGCATGGAGTGTCTTCTTGTGACTACTAAGTGAAAGTGACGGTAAATCTAGTAACACTGTTACAAATGTATTTGCAACATTGTTACAAATAAACAGCGTGAATCAATTGGCTATTATTATCATGAACATAAAATCAATGTGACATGCAGGTTTCCATTTTTACCAAAAGACTAAAAGACCTTCTTGTGAATTGTTTTGTTAGAAATAGAAATTCAAGATATTATACTGAACTGGAAAAACTTAGGGTTGGCTACATGCCCACTTATACTGAGTCTTAATTCAGCTTTTTCAATCATTTTTTTATAATGGATCTGCATTTGACTGAAGTCAGCCCCAATAATTTCTATTTGATAGTATTGGAATAGGTGAGACTTTAAAAATATTTTTTTCTTTCTCTGTTCTACATAGCAGTGTTTCATTTTTTCCAGAGTATTTTAATAAGGAACGCAAGTTGTAAATTTCCTTCAACAGCTAGATAACACTTTTCTGGATATGCTCACTTTCTAATACTTTATGTTTCATAGGGGTAATTTTGTGTTTCCCACAGGAGCCATTTCCAAAGATAAGCTAGTAGATAGATAAGGACATCTGACCATAAATCACAAGAATTTTTTTTAGCTATGAGCCAGAACAGCTTATTTGATGTTTATGACTAATAAACTCTATCCAGTCAGACAAAACTATCATCTAAGTTTGTGGACCATCTAAGTTTGTTCTCGCCTCAGTTGGATCTTGTCTGACCAGATTTTTACAGTCTGATCTATTCAGACAAGTGTCTTCCCCTGCAGATCATGCCCTGAAGCGGGGAGGCAATCTGAAGAGTAGGCAACTACTTGACCCGAAAAAAGTCTGCAAAATCCCGTGGACTGACTTCCTAAATCCCTCCCATGTGACGAACATATCAACTGGGCTGACTGAACAGAGTTTGGCCTACAGACTGCATCAGGATTGTATCATATAAGTGCTATATTTTATATGGTTTTGTTAGCTCAGTAAATGCAGTATCTGTCATAGGAGTGGAAATGGTGCACAAAATTTTCACAGGAGACTTGAATCATTTTCTGGTTCAGTGTGCCCTACTTCTCTGAGTTAAGAGTGCATCTCAGAAGTCTTTTCCAGTATGTAGGTTCACACTTACCTTGTAATTACATAAGGTGCAAAACAAAGTATAAAAGTACCGATAAAGGTACTTATTTTCTTTGTTGCTCGTTGCCTCCGTCTCTTTTGTTCTTCTAGACAACGCTCTCTTACGCTGTGTGACATTCAACACAAACAAGAATATGAATCATAATATCAGGTAGCAGATTTTAATGGCTTTACTTAAGGAATGATGGAAATCAATTGTTCCAGTAAGTGCTGTATTCACATAAGCCAATACCAGGTGCACTGCATTTATATGGGACAATAACAAGTATAAATGCATCGTATGATCATCTTACCCTCCAAAAACAATTACTGAGAAATACATTATTATATATTTATATGCACACACACACCTTATATCGATTTATATATAGTCAAATTGGTGGAATTCAGCCTTGAATTTAATTTTAGCTCCTTTTTCAATTACTGTAAGCTGTATTTGCAGGCCAGAGTTTGCCTCATGATATTTGGAGATGTGGGAAATATCCAGAGAGGGGTAGGCAGCATGCTACTTTCCTACAAACACCAATTCCAACACCACTATCTTAGGAGAAACTTCCCAGCAAGATAAGCAATAAAACACAATAAAATCATAATGGGAAAAAACATGTTCTGAACATTCAGTCCAACATTGGAGCAATCACTATATCCCATAGCTGTGAACCGCGTGGCCATAAATCTTACAGCAGCCTGTGCAGGTCTGCATGGCCGCCGTGCTGAACGCTTTGCAAAGCCGGGAATTATATGACAAATCCACAGCGCTGTGATGTTCTGACTCCTCGCCTCAAACCAGCCTTGTTCCCGACTAAACAGATACAAATTAGTCACACCCTGGGTATTTTCCTACCTGTGGCAATTTAGGACAAGAGCTTCTCCTTTGAGTTTCCCGGTGGTGGTCTCACCAGGCCACCAGAGAGCTGCTAAGACCCTTGGTGTGCCAGCAAGGTGATGGGAGCACAGGGCTGAGACCACGCTTCCACTGCAGGAAATCCCCTTTAAAATCAGCACGTGTGCTTGCCAAAAGAGTGATAATGTGAAAACCCATCCTCCTTCTCTACCCGCTTCTGTAACTCCTGTGCTGGCTGTGCATTTTGAGGGAAGTGGATGAGTTACTGTCTTCTCCAGGCAGGTGAGTTGGATGGGCAGCACTCGTATCTCCCAGAGCCCCAGGGCCATCTGTACCTGAACTAGTCCCTTTGGGAAAGAGCAAATCCAAAGCCAGACCACACTCCTGAAATCCCTCTCCATGCACATGGCAGCACTGCTACGTGTTGACTCATTGCACAGGTCTTGTGGTAAAGCAACCACGTCTCGGGCAAACCAGTCTGGCCCATGTGCTGCATTTTGTAACTGCTTGGCATTGGTCTCTCTGTTTTTATTGTAAATTTGTAATTGATGACTCACTGTCAGGTTCCACACACACTTGTGTTAACAGCTGCAAGGTTTATGGACATACCCTTACGTTCTTTGCTGTACCTGCGAATGTTTGATCATCATCTAAACGCATGCTATATCCTAAGGATCTCAGTGTGCTTCCATGATCCCTGTGGCAGTGAGTTTTTATGTTACCTTTTCATTGTGTTAAAGAAAACATGTTTCCTTTGATCTGTTTTATATACAGTCTTACACCGCCCATCCCCAGAGCAGCTACCATGATGGCAAAAGGAACAAAATACTGAAGGAAAAGGTTTTTCTGCTTGAAATAACAAATTATCTTGCTCTTAAAGAATATGCCTAAGTAGAGTGAAAACACATCTAAGAGTGTTACATGTTCTATGTCTATTTGCAGCGAGAAATGACAGCGGAGAAGGAAAAAAAAAAAATCCACCTTTTCAAGGGAACCTATGTGCTTTCAGTTCTGCAAGAGCTGGAGAACTTGGAGTATTTTTAGGTGCAGACAGATGATCTTAGAGGTTTGACAGCTTTGCTTAAGACCTGTGTTATTAAATTCATAGTATCCCAGGCACACAGCGATATAGGAAAAGAAATCTCCAAAGTAGGTTCAATTAGGGTGTTGTTAGGGTGTAGAGGGTGGTGTATTTTTTTGTCTCTAACCATTTCCCCAGCTATATCTTTTCCCTACTGGCACACACAAAGCTGTCTTTTACTCCTGGAGCTCACACATGACTTGGGAAGTCCTGATAGACTTCAACCAATTTTTTTTTTCAGCCTTTCCAGATGTAGCTAATAAATAGCACATCACAGAGGAAGGTATTTTATCTCATTCCTTCATATAGACAACATACACAGATGGGTGTTTTGCTTTTGCACACATGTTTATGCACTAAGATAAGAACATATATGCAAGTTCCGGTAGTGACACTAGTAATAGAACTGGATTATCGACTAAGCTTTCATTTAAAGATTTTAATATCCTGGAAAATCTGAGATATATTCCTTTGAAGGTTTGGTATTTTAAACAAAGTTTATGAGATACTGGACCTTAAGATCTGGAAAGCTGGATACACCAAAAAAATAGTATAAATAATTTAGGTGAAGAAACACATCGGTTAAGCAGTTAAGTGAAGTCTTGCCCAAACCTCTCACAATACCTAAGATTCCTTGGTCTTAAGAACAAAGTCAAGAAAAAGCAGTATCCAGTAAAAATGCCTAAGCTAACTGGAAAGGACATGTACCCTAAACATTCACACAATTTTCTGTGGTATTTAGAGGTTTCCTTTGTACTCGTCTTGAATGATCTTCAGAAGATCACTCGTGTCTTTCCAAGTCACAGGTAATAAAGCCATCTGCCATAACGCCTGTCGCTAGACCCCCTTACGGGTGGATTCTGAGTCATAGGGAGCAGAAAATTGTCCATACACATTTCTCAGTGTTGAAGCTAGACCATGCAAAAAGCCAGAAAAGTCAGGGTGGTCTAAGGTGGGATTACAAACTTTGTTTTCTCATGTGCCTTCTCCCAGCACCACGTCTGTGTTGTTAGGTACTATAGTAAACACTGAAATTGCCTGTATATATACACCACTTATATAATTCAAATGATGCCTTTGTTATGTCAGAGCTTTATGAACGTCACTGACTGCTCCAGGAGACCTGCAGCCTTTGTGTAGCTCTCACAGTAGGGAAGGCAATACGAGGTCTGACCCTTTCAGCAGCGGTAGCTGTCACCAGTTAAGGCAGCACCACCACAGGCCAAATCAGCCTATATTTCTGTAGTCTAGAAAAGAAGCTAAAACTCTCCTTTCTTAGAGAGAAGCACTAGAATAACTTGATGCGAGAGATAAATAATGGTTAGTAATACAGATTACTCGCAGCGAAGTTCTTATACAACTCTGTCTCCTCTGAAGAAGGGAGGTATCATCCCCACAGCCCCATTGAATCCACCCCTCAGTGAGATGATTATAAAATGCAGGAACACCCTCAAATTAACCTAGACCAGAAAAAATGCAGAGGAGGAGAAATACCGTTGAGATTTTTGCCCTTTTTCTAAGCTTTGCTGTGCAGTCCAGGCATACTTTAAGCATTAGGCATAACAACTGCTATTTCAAATAGCCCCAGTGGGTCTGTGGCATTGCCCTGGGAGTAGCCACCACACCTCACGGTGTGTGCAGGAACTAAGACCAGTCGAGGCACAGTTTAGCAACCAGACAGCACGTAGGGCAGAAGGGTGTTTTTTCCTCTATGTGACTTGGTGGATAAGGGAAGATTTATACATGTGTTTCTTAAGAACAGTAACAGGACTTGCCCGAAGTTCTGCTCCGCATTCTTGGTCAAGAGACAGATCAAACAGCTTAACTGGAGAATTTTGAGCAAATGTTGCTGTTCCTCTAACAGTGTGCTGTCCTGCCCTGATCCTTTCAGAATTATTTGCCTTAGGCTTAGGAATCCCCAAAATATGACCTTTTTTGAGGACAGCCACATGTGCTTTCAGTCCTGCAGCTCTGCTCCTGGCTGGCTGCAAATGGAGAGAGCTGGCATTTGCCTCCAGCTTGCAGAGCAACGGACAGCAAGGGGGGTCAGGTGGGATGTCTGGCATGGGACTGCCCTCTTAAACTGCTCTCAGCTTTCCTCTCTTCCAGGCAGATTTCTTCCTCCCCTATCAGACACCTGCCTGCACTGACAGCTGCCAGCATTTTTCTGAAAGACATTTCCCTTCCCTTCAGTCTCTGACAGAGACAGTCTGAACTTTAAGATCCAGTCTCTGACTGTCTCCCAAGCAGCACACACATTGCTCACAGCCTCTCTGTCACCTAACCTAGACAAACCGTTTTCTCCTTTTTTTCCAGGCAAATACATCAGATTCTTCCTTTTCCAACCACCTGCTCCAGCCACACTAAGCCCTACGCCAAACTAGCTCCTCTGAGCAAACCAGGCTTATTTCTTTCCACGCTGTGACCAGTGTCTCTGTTTTCCCCTTTCCAGAGCTCACTCATTGACTCTGCCACCCCATCCCAGTTATAGCTGGGTCTTAGCCCCGTCCGCCCCAGCTCATCAGGGCCTCTCAGCCCTCAGACAGGACACGCTGATCCATCAGCCACCCTGTTCTGCTCCATCCTGCCTCAGCTGTGCAAGTTCATTTCTCAAATCCCCGTTTCCCAGGCAGATCACTCTGGCTTGTCCTGCTGCTCCCTTATCACCAGCCCAGTCCTACGTCCTTCCAGCCGTGCCTGTTTTGGTCCTCTCCATTTTCTTCTCTCCACTTCTCGTGGGCAGAGCCATCGTGTACTCACAGTACACACTGACTTCCTCCTTCCCTGTGCACCAGGCACCTTCCCCAGCTCCTCGCCAGGATCACTGCCTGTCCAGCACCACCCTTGGGCTTCCATCCAGCAAGGCTTTCTCTCCTTCGGTTTTACTGCTATGCTCCCCTTACTGACTCAGGGAAAACTCTCTCTCCCACCCTCCCTCCTCCAGCCAAACCTGCACCCCTTCCAGATCCAGACAGAGCCTATTCAGGCAAGATTTATAGTTTGTGGCTAATCCCTGACGTGACTCTTTTGCACAGCATCCCAGCACGCATTCATACCCATTTGGTGCTTGCCTTCAAGCCCATCATTATCCTCCCAGCCCCCGGAGACTTTTCTCCTCCTGTGCTTAAAGACTCTCACTTGAAATGAATTTTATACATCACTTGCTTGTCATATTAACATTGCTACTGAAGTCTGTCCCACTTGGATTTAAGTATAGGCATTCAAGCATATGCATTTTGCAGATGTTATTCCCTTACAATTCTGTCTTCAGGAAAGATAAAGTTACGGAGAGCACAGCAATAGGGAAACCGCCGGGTGAAGGAGCGGCATGCAGCACCCAGCTTCCCTTCTGAACTCCAAGTGAAGGGACATGTGCAGCCTCAGCCTGCCGCCTTTCAGGGATCCAGCAATGTTTTGGGCTGACAGTGCCAAAAAATGCAAATCTATCGACCACTAAATCCACCTTCGGAGACAAAGGGCAGTGATCCGATCACTATCTTGAAGGGAAGTGCATGCTCAGCCAAAACTGCCTGTTTCTTTGCTCTCCCTCCCAAAACAAGCCCTTAAGCATAACAAAGAAGAGTTGCTTCTACAACTGGAAAAATAAACACAAGCAAAAAGAAACATGCAGAATAGAAACTGGCAAGAGGGATGCTTGTTTTCTCCCCCTCCCCATCCCCTGCTGTGGTACAGAACAGACTGTATGTAACATAACACTGAACCCGTCCTCACTTCCTCTGCGGTGAATAGTCTCACTTGCCGAACACACAGGCACCTTACCTGGGATGGATGTCCACAAGCAGCACCAAGGTCTGCATAGTGATCACGTCAATCCGCTTACAGTGAAACCGTGCCACCTTCAGTACTTTTAAATATGTGAAACACAGGACTATAAGGGAGAGGAGGAAGCTGAGGGTGTGAAAGACCCCAGTGAAAATCACAAACTGTGTCCTATCCTCTGGTCTCTTGTTGTACAGGGTGCAGGAGGCATAGAGGTGATGGAAACCCACCCAGGAGAGAGAAGCTGCCACTATCGGGAACGACACCGAGTGTAACCATGTGTAGCTCAGTATGAGAGCAGCATCTCTGTACCTCATTTTGGAGTGATAACTTAGAGGGAAGACCACAGCAATCCACCTGTCAATGCTCAAAGCTGCCATGCTCAACATGGAGTTCGTGGTGAGAAAAGTCTCCAGGAAGCCCACAATGTGGCAGATCTGATCTCCTCCTGGTTGACTCTTGTAAATGATCCCAGCCAAGGTCAGGGGCATGTTCAACACAGTCATCAACAGGTTGCAGAAGGTGAGGTTGAGGATGAACAATCCCGGGACCTGCTTGCGGATGTCTGCGCTGTACAGGAAGCACATCAGCACCAGCACGTTGGCCAGCAGGGCCACGAGCATCAGCACCACCACCACAAAAGCCAGGATCACCTCCCAGATGCTCATGGTGCGTCCAGTCACAGGAGGGACATCTCCGAAACTGCACCGTGCCGGCACCCAGGGAACATGGTGCGAGGCACGCTCACCTCGCCCTCCTGCTCGCACTCTTGCATGCCCTCCGTATTTTTAGAAGAGCTGCAGTTTTTTTTCTCCAACCTCCCCCTCCTCGCTGCTCCTTTCCACATCAACGCTTTCCGAGACGTGCACAAAAGCACTGGGAATGCCCATCAAACTGCGAGGAGGGCTTAAAAAATATCAGCAGGACTGAACCACTGTCTCCATTCGGTCCATTCAAAGGAGAGCAGGTTATTCTGAGAAACTGCTCTCCTGAGATCCCTAATTATCAGCCCCAAGCTTGCAAGCAATTCACCGAGTGAATTGTGCTCTCTTTCTCTCTTGCTTTCTGTCTCTCTCTCTCTCTCTCTTGCTCTTTCTCTCCCCTCCCCTCTCCTCCAACCCTCACTCCCTTCCAGGCTGAATGTAACCTGCTTTTTATGATCACAGATAAAAACCCCATTAATGGATTAAAGCATGCACACTGCTGGTGATTTGCAAATGTGATTATGTCATCCCCACTCCACAACCCCTCCCCTTCTCCTTGCAATTGTGACTAGGCTTTCCTCAAGAGAAATACCATGCTTTCATTTAATTGATTTAGCCATTAATTTGCAAACAGCCATGTAACCGAATTCTTGCACTCCAGTGTGTTTCCTACATTTCGGTGCATCACTTTCACAGTTGCTGCTTGCTCTCAGCCAGGTCAGGGGCTTTCTTTTCTCTTCATTAGCTGTGCTCAGAAAGATGGGGGGAAATGGATGCATTCTGCTACTTCTCTGGAGCTGTCATTAGGCTACTGGAACAGTTTTACTGCTCTAGTTTAGCACTTTGCAGTCCTGTGTCTCCAAGCACGATGCATAGGAGGAAAATGATTGCCTCCCCTCCTCCTTTAAAAGCAGGGAAACCGAAGCCCCAAATGCCGCTGTACCATGCCCAAGGTCATAGAGCAGGTGAGCGGCAGAAACAGCAACGTGCTGCTGGTCTTGTTATTCAGTCCGGCTTTCTCTCCTTCAACAGCCTTTGCTTTTTCCTAATCAAAGCCTCCCGCCCTGTGAGGGTGAGCACCCTGTGGATCAAAACCAAGAAGCAGCTCGGCAAAGGAAATAGGAATGAGTCTGTATTGCACATAATTAGGTGTTAAAATTAAGTTTGTTTTAAAGGACGGAGTGGGAACTGTTTTCTGATTGCCTTTCCTGTCTCTTTAAAACAGTTTTAACTGGGAATGCTGAGAGTTTGCAAGCAATCGGGACAGCTTTCTCATCAAGGCAGCCAAGCCTTGATCCCTGCACAATAAGAGGGAAAAAGATACCCTGCAGCACAGTTATTGTGGCTTAGTAAGTGCCTCTGCACGTGTGCAAGAGCTAGATGCTCAGGCAGATTTTTCCTCTGTGCTTGCAGCCCTTGCCAGAGCCATGCATGCTCGATTTACAGTAGCTATTCATTGCAGACACATGGGCTCATCCACTCAGTAGTAGAGCTGTCATCCTGCACAGTGTCAGAGCTGTGCATGTTGTAGGAAGGCCCCTTCTCTTCCACTTTTATTTTGTTTTGTTTTCTTAAACCAGGCTTTAAAGGGCTAATAGAGACAGAAGACTGTAATCAAAGACAGCTGGGACTCTCCAGGACAGTTTAGCTGGGTACGCAGGTCCTCGAAGCACACACTCAGCAGAGGAGGAGTGCCTCAGGGTGCAGAGCCCAGGTCTGTCCCCCTTTACCCTCTTAGGAGAGGTAGGCTAAGGAGATGGAAGAGAAGATGCAGATCTTGCTGCATGGCACCAGAACCTCAGCAAATTTCCTTCTTGGGTACGAAGCAACAGCCCTGGCTGAGAAAGATGTCCTAGCATCAATGGCCTGAGTGGGGTGTCCATGTTACAGTACTTAGCATGACACCATCTTAAAGCTCAGCAAGCAAAGACAGCTGCAGGCCCCAGGAAGAGGCCATGTGAGGGAGGCACTGAGAAGAAAAACTGGAAAGTTTCTAAAGACATGGCAAGATTTGCTGGGAGACTAGGAAGGAAGGGAAAAAGGAAGGGAAAACCTGGTGACATATGGGAGGCAGGTACTCTGTGACAGTGGTGGAGGGGAATCTCATGCCCACTTGGTGTCAAGGTGACACCTGACTCCTCTTTCCCACACTCAGCCTCCTCCTTGACTCAAATCAATCCTGCAAGGCCCCCAGCTGCACAAATCATTCAAGGCCCAGCAGCACAGGCACTGGGTAATTTAGTCATTTATCTTGCTTTGCAACATATGAGGCTATGGGTTTATCAGGATGGTTTCCTGAAGCAGTGTGCTGTTTTCCCTTTAGTGAGCTGTGGTGTCTCTTGGATTCAAAAGCTCTGCTTGTGAGTAATCCCCTGGTGTGACAGGGGGTCTGGTATCAGTGTCAAGCCCAGGTGGACAGGGAGGGAGAAAATTTACATCTGGAGATAAAGGATTAGGGATGACAGTCAGGAAAGGAGGATTCTCCCAAAGGGATGGATAAATGTGAAATAACAGGAAAGGAAATGGTTCAGTGAAGCAGTGATGGAATATGAATGGTCAGATTTGGGGGGTGGCATGGGATAGGTGCTGCAGTGGACGTGTCGTGTGGGGGCCAATGTGGAGGTGATGTGGAGGAAACAGAGGACAAAGAGTAATGGTGGACGTATCTTGAAGGGCAGGAGAGCAGGCAGGACTATGGACTGGCTCTGCTGGATCTCTTTACTGTGGAGTGGAGAAGCATATAGGAGTGGATAGCTGCAGGACTGTCAAGAGGAGACGCACTGTCTCCTCTGCATGGTATCTGAACTCCTAAGACCCGAAATCTCCCCTCTCTCCACCTAGCCCTTCTTCCCTCCAGAGTTTGTTAGGGTGTTACTACCGTTCATATTGGTGTGGGAAAGCTAAATTAAAGCAGCAAGTTTGGCATGTACTTCAGTAATTGTTGGCCTAAATGAATGAAGCATTCCTAGTCCAATGCTTTGCAGTTTACTGATTGCTTTGCCTTTCCTGTCAAGCTATTCTGTGTTGTACAAGTTTCTTGGGTAAAGAAAACATTGTTATCAGTAAGGCTAAACTCCTAGTGTTTACAGGAAAAATGTAACAACTAAAAATGTACAATGAAATGAAAAAGCTTTTTAGATTTCAGGAGAAAGCTGAAGTTTTCTCTTGATGACTGATTTGAGTCTCAGTATGTATGTCTAACTCTAAAGGCCCAAGTAATTTACATAATTGATTCCCCTGTTGGTAATCCCTGAAGCTGAGGATACTTACTGAATGCTTCTGCATTTATTTGTCATGCCTACCTAAGAGAGCATGATAGATTCATCAAATAGCTTCATTTTATACAAATCAGGAGGAAGGAATATGTTGTGCATATTTTATCACTGTAGAGGAAATGAACGTGTTGCCTGTGAGCTCCTAATGGCAGGGACTGCAAGTTTGGCTTTTAATATTTCAATGACAGACTACATTATGAATTAGCCATAAGCACTACTAATAAATATCAATTATCACCAGTGAACTTTGACAGTACTAGGTCTGGGGTTAGAGGATCAGTCCTCCTTTGGCATTTGCTCCATTATCAAGCACACAAAACCACAGCTTTCTCTGCGTGTTGTCCCACCGAGACTAGGAAATAGCTGCTTGGGATAAATGACATTTTCAAAGTTACGTCCAATGTATCGTATATAGGAGGCTATTTTGATGACCTAACTAAAACATCTAAGGCACTCATTTCACAGGAAACTAATGTTTAAGGCTTTACACCACTGACAAAACTACTTGAAAATCTAACCTGAAAATGCATTTGAGGTCTGATGCATTTCCTTTGTACTGAGAGTTGTAGCTCTCCAATTTTTCTCTGTCAAATTTTGGGATCTTAGTTTCATGCTTTCACTGCACTTTCCTTCTCCTATTGTGTCACCTTCCTCCTTTGATCAGCAGTGTACAAACTTTACAGGACTTCAATAACAGGAGTATTGACACATGGAAGAGACTTTTTCTCCTTTATCTGTGTTTTTGCCAGTTCAAAGATGACCAGTTTCCCCTGGGAAGCCAGTGTGCCTGCAGACAGTCCACAGATATTTTCTCTTGCTTCCGTCAGCCTTTACTTTTTGCTTCATGGCTGTTTGGAGAGCTTGCAATACATTCATGAACTGTAGAACTGGGCCATTTCACTTTATTGTCAATCAAACTAAACTTTAGTAACAGCGGTATCTTTACTCTGATTATTTGAAGGTCAAATGTCACATTGGAAAAAACAAAGTGTTATCCTCTTTTATGTGAGTAACATAATGGCTCATGAAATCATCATTCTGCTGGATCGACGGTAAAGTCTCAATGACTTCAGCTGTCAGAATTTCACTATATATGTATAGTACAGATAACGTGAGTAATGACTTGTGTAATGTCTACATACTTTGTAAGGATGGTAGGCAGACTTAGCAGGGCAGCTGGCACCAGGTAGTTCATTGCACCATTAACAATGTCAGAAGCAGCGGAGTGCACTTTTTCCTCTGCATCTGCAAAATCCTAACTTTTGAGTCACTGTGTGGAAAGTGATCCAAGCCTTTGGTCACCATGCCAGGACAGACACTTAAGAAGAGAAGGCACAAGGAAGCTCTTGAAGCAGCCTTGCGTGAGTTGACTTTGGTCTGTCTTCAGCCCAGTACCATGCAAAACCTTGGCAAGTTGGCTTGGTGGAGAGAGGAGCCGCAGCCCTGTCCCTCTCGGGCCTTGGCTGGCAGGGTGTCACAGTGCAGAGGTAGCTGTTACACCTTCTCTGTCACCTTCACTGACCAAAGT